GGACATCTCCAGTCAGAAAGAGATTCACGGTACATAAATTTCGCGACGAACATATTATGCCATAGACATTATTATGAAGAGTTGAGCGCCTCTCCATCAACATTTAAAGATTTTTAGGAGTTATTTTAAAGTTGGAAGTGGTAATGTGTGCGTTTAAATTAGTAATTTCCTACATAACAACAGGGAATTTGGCAGGTATTGCCGCAGTGCGCATGTTCCAACGAGGCCGCGGGAGGTTTGAACGCTGAGAATATATTTTTGTAGGATCCTGACCATTAATTTAATATAATTCAGTAATGTGTGGGGTTTCCTTCATATAAAACTTCACTAGGAATGAAAATTTTCAGGCTCGGTTCTAGTTCCCAAAACGTCATCGCGTTATCTTGAATGTTATGATGCTTTGAAAGCCAGTGGAAATCATTTGTAACATTTTTAGGCCTACAGGTGCGGGTAGGACTGGAGGCGGTGTTGGAGCCCACTACCTGCTCCTTAACACTGACTGCCCTTCCCACCACCACCACTAACTATCAGACACTGCCCTTCCCACCACCACCACTAACTACCAGACACTGCCCTTCCCACCACCACCACTAACTACCAGACACTGACTACCCTTCCTGCCACCACCACTAACTACCAGACACTGCCCTTCCTGCCACCACCACTAACTACCAGACACTGCCCTTTCCACCACCACCACTAACTACCAGACACTGCCCTTCCTGCCACCACCACTAACTACCAGACACTGCCCTTCCTGCCACCACCACTAACTACCAGACACTGCCCTTCCCACCACCACCACTAACTACCAGACACTGCCCTTCCTACCACCACCACTAACTACCAGACACTGCCCTTCCCACCACCACCACTAACTACCAGACACTGCCCTTCCTGCCACCACCACTAACTACCAGACACTGCCCTTCCTGCCACCACCACTAACTACCAGACACTGCCCTTTCCACCACCACCACTAACTACCAGACACTGCCCTTCCTGCCACCACCACTAACTACCAGACACTGCCCTTCCCACCACCACCACTAACTACCAGACACTGCCCTTCCCACCACCACCACTAACTACCAGACACTGCCCTTCCCACCACCACCACTAACTACCAGACACTGCCCTTTCCACCACCACCACTAACTACCAGACACTGCCCTTCCTACCACCACCACTAACTATCAGACACTGCCCTTCCTACCACCACCACTAACTACCAGACACTGCCCTTCCCACCACCACCACTAACTTCCAGACACTGCCCTTCCCACCACCACCACTAACTACCAGACACTGCCCTTCCCACTACCACCACTAACTTCCAGACACTGCCCTTCCCACCACCACCACTAACTACCAGACACTGCCCTTCCCACCACCACCACTAACAACCAGACACTGCCCTTCCCACCACCACCACTAACTACTAGACACTGCCCTTCCCACCACCACAACTAACTACCAGACACTGCCCTTCCCACCACCACCACTAACTACCAGACACTGCCCTTCCTACCACCACCACTACCAGACACTGCCCTTCCCACCACCACCACTAACTACCAGACACTGCCCTTCCCACCACCACCACTAACAACCAAACACTGCCCTTCCCACCACCACCACTAACAACCAGACACTGCCCTTTCCACCACCACCACTAACTACCAGACACTGCCCTTCCTACCACCACCACTAACTACCAGACACTGCCCTTCCCACCACCACCACTAACTACCAGACACTGCCCTTCCTACCACCACCACTAACTATCAGACACTGCCCTTCCTACCACCACCACTAACTACCAGACACTGCCCTTCCTACCACCACCACTAACTACCAGACACTGCCCTTCCCACCACCACCACTAACTACCAGACACTGCCCTTCCTACCACCACCACTAACAACCAGACACTGCCCTTCCTACCACCACCACCACTAACTACCAGACACTGCCCTTCCCACTACCACAACTAACTACCAGACACTGCCCTTTCCAGAATAATTAAATTATAGAGCAGCAGGTACAACGAGGCTAGTAAGCTGGAATAAAGAGCTAGATCTCACTTCCTTGTAGTCACTGAAAGGTGAGCACTAACAACCAGTGACTGGTCACTCCACCAACTCTAACAATCAGTGAATAGCATTCAAACTAGCACTAACAACAGCAACCAGTAACTGACCTTTCCACCACCACTAACAACCAGTAGCTGACCTTCCCACCACCACTAACAACCAGTAGCTGACCTTCCCACCACCACTAACAACAACAACCAGTAGCTGACCTTCCCACGACCAATAAGAACAGCAACCAGTAACTGACCTTCCCACGACCACTAACAACCAGTAGCTGACCTTCCCACCACCACTAACAACCAGTAGCTGACCTTCCCACGACCACTAACAACAACAACCAGTAGCTGACCTTCCCACCACCACTAACAACTAGTAACTGACCTTCCCACCACCACTAACAACTAGTAACTGACCTTCCCACCACCACTAACAACAACAACCAGTAACTGACCTTCCCACCACCACTAACAACCAGTAGCTGACCTTCCCACCACCACTAACAACCAGTAGCTGACCTTCCCACCACCACTAACAACCAGTAACTGACCTTCCCACCACCACTAACAACTAGTAACTGACCTTCCCACCACCACTAACAACCAGTAGCTGACCTTCCCACCACCACTAACAACAACAACCAGTAACTGACCTTCCCACCACCACTAACAACAAGTAACTGACCTTCCCACCACCACTAACAACCAGTAGCTGACCTTCCCACCACCACTAACAACAACAACCAGTAACTGACCTTCCCACCACCACTAACAACCAGTAACTGACCTTCCCACCACCACTAACAACCAGTAGCTGACCTTCCCACCACCACTAACAACAACAACCAGTAACTGACCTTCCCACCACCACTAACAACAACAACCAGTAACTGACCTTCCCACCACCACTAACAACCAGTAGCTGACCTTCCCACCACCACTAACAACCAGTAACTGACCTTCCCACCACCACTAACAACCAGTAGCTGACCTTCCCACCACCACTAACAACAACAACCAGTAACTGACCTTCCCACCACCACTAACAACAACAACCAGTAACTGACTTTCCCACCACCACTAACAACAACAACCAGTAACTGACCTTCCCACCACCACTAACAACCAGTAACTGACCTTCCCACCATCACTAACAACCAGTAACTGACCTTCCCACGACCACTAACAACAACAACCAGTAACTGACCTTCCCACCACCACTAACAACCAGTAACTGACCTTCCCACCACCACTAACAACCAGTAGCTGACCTTCCCACCACCACTAACAACAACAACCAGTAACTGACCTTCCCACCACCACTAACAACAACAACCAGTAACTGACCTTCCCACCACCACTAACAACCAGTAACTGACCTTCCCACCATCACTAACAACCAGTAACTGACCTTCCCACCACCACTAACAACCAGTAACTGACCCTCCCACCACCACTAACAACCAGTAACTGACCTTCCCACTATCACTAACAACAACAACCAGTAACTGACCTTCCCACCACCACTAACAACAACAACCAGTAACTGACCTTCCCACCACCACTAACAACAACAACCAGGAACTGACCTTCCCACCACCACTAACAACCAGTAACTGACCTTCCCACCATCACTAACAACCAGTAACTGACCTTCCCACCACCACTAACAACCAGTAGCTGACCTTCCCACCACCACTAACAACAACAACCAGTAACTGACCTTCCCACCACCACTAACAACCAGTGACTGAGACAGGGAACCCGCCTGTTAAACACAGTCGAGGCCCGGAGACGACAGTTACGAAATAACTAACTTTTCCTCCCCTGCAAGTGTTGCCACATCCGGCACCTTCCTGTCCTCTCCTAACAGTACATCGCATTTGGACATAAATCCTTAACCACCAAAATATAATGTAATATATCAATCACGGCGGCTCACACAATTGACGTTGGCTGTCCCGTTTTCTATTCGTGGGTCCTCGGTTAGGTTAGGTTCGGGAAATTAGTACTTTTTGTGACGGTGTGTCAACTCGAGAGGACGGGATACTCTCAAAATAGACGTTCATTTCCCCCCAGAACATTGTAAATATCCAAGAATAGTGTTCATCATAATACTATATCCCGTCCTCATCAACAAACGTGAAATGTTCGTTAATCCAGCCATTGCCTTATCCTTGACAACATCCTTTCATTGTCTTGGATACTAGAGAGCAAACTTAGAGAATGACCACACGACCGGCTACTGTATTCATATTTTAGTATATTTATACCAGGTTGATGTTCCCTTCAAACTTAAGACATCACTGTTTACCAGGTTATAGATATAGATAATTACTTAGCAACTATATCTCTCAAAACCAATATGAATAGATGCATGTGCATGCACCTCAGACATAACCACCCAACCAGTCGCATTTTGACCTATACTCTACCTAAGGCCAGAATTTGTGGTACTAGAAAATGGTAGCGGCTCGCTAAACTGACGTTTTCTGTTTTCGATCAACTGGTACGTTAGGATAAGGGCACTTTAGTACGACACTTTCTTGACGTTTGGAAATCTCAGGAGGACGAGCTGGTTCATGGTGTTGTTCTCTTACTGCAACTGAAACTACTAGCTCCTGTGTCACCAGAAAGGTGTTAACGACCAAGAAAAGAGGATGGCTCTCGCAGTGACATGTTCTGGCATACACCAAGATAGATTATCTCTTTCTAACCTTAAATGAATTATGTCTCGCGCGAACCAGCATGTGGCCAGCTTACAAGGCAGCCTTCCAATGTGCTTGAAATAATACCCGTACAACCCCTTATAGAAAGAGCAGTTAAAGAGATTCGTGAGTTAAGAACAATTTTAAAAATGTTATGTACTAAGTGTCCATTTGGGGTTTGTCAGTCCCAACGATCTCAA